TATATTCTCCCTGCATGATATCAAGACTTGGCTATAAGTCTTTATCCATTTTTGAAAATTGTATTGTAAATTGTAAGAATTTCTGAATACTACTACTATAAAATATAATTGCTTATCTATGTATATTCTCCCTGCATGATATAAAGACTTGGCTATAAGTCTCTATTCATTATGAGTATGACCCCATTTTTTTACAAAAAGTGCCGAATTGCAACTTTGTCCCAATCTCAAACAATGATAAATATGAAAAGAAAGAGAATGTTATAAAACAATGATAAATATGAAAAGTAAGGGAATGTAACAAAAAAATGATAAATATGAAAAGAAAGAGAATTCCATAAAACAATGACAAATATGAAGAGAAAGAGAATTCTATCAAATAATGATAAATATGAAAAGAAAGAGAATAAGTTTCATGTTAACATCAGCACCATGCGCGACTAGGAATTGGACAATCTCTTTTGAATTCATTCTGATTGCAATACTAAGAGGGCATTCATTAATATCGAGAGAATATCATAAAGCAACGATAAATATGAAAAGTAAGGGAATGTAACAAAAAAATGATAAATATGAAAAGAAAGAGAATTCCATAAAACAATGACAAATATGAAGAGAAAGAGAATTCTATCAAATAATGATGAATATGAAAAGAAAGAGAATAAGTTTCATGTTAACATCTGCACCATGCGCGACTAGGAATTGGACAATCTCTTTTGAATTCATTCTGATTGCAATACTAAGAGGGCATTCATTAATATCGAGAGAATATCATAAAACAATGATAAATATGAAAAGAAAGAGAATTTTATAGAACAATGATAAATATGAAAAGAATGAGAATCAACTAAAATAATGATAAATATCAAAAGAGAGAGAATCAACTAAAACAACAATAAATATGAAAAGAAAGAGAAAATGATAAAACAATGACAAATATGAAAAGAAAGAGAAAGTGATAAAACAATGATAAGTATTAAAAGACAGGAAATTCTATAAAAGAATGATAAATATGAAAAGAAAGAGAATTTCATGAAACAATGATAAATATGAAAAGTAAGGGAATGTAACAAAAAAATGATAAATATGAAAAGACAGAGAATATAATAAAGAAATGGTAAATATGAAAAGAAAGAGAATGTGATAAAACAATGATAAATAAGAATTGAAAGAGAATAAGTTTCATGTTAACATCTGCACCATGCGCGACTAGGAATTGGACAATCTCTTTTGAATTCATTCTGATTGCAATACTAAGAGGGCATTCATTAATATCGAGAGAATATCATAAAACAATGATAAATATGAAAAGAAAGATAATGTAATAAAGCAATGATAAATATGAAAAGAAAGAGAATATCATAAAACAATGATAAATATGAAAAGAAAGAGAATATCATAAAACAATGATAAATATGAAAAGAAAGATAATGTAATAAAGCAATGATAAATATGAAAAGAAAGAGAATTTTATAGAACAATGATAAATATGAAAAGAATGAGAATCAACTAAAATAATGATAAATATCAAAAGAGAGAGAATCAACTAAAACAACAATAAATATGAAAAGAAAGAGAAAATGATAAAACAATGACAAATATGAAAAGAAAGAGAAAGTGATAAAACAATGATAAGTATTAAAAGACAGGAAATTCTATAAAAGAATGATAAATATGAAAAGAAAGAGAATTTCATATAAAAATGATAAATATGAAAAGAAAGAGAATTCTATCAAACAATGATAAATATGAAAAGAAAGAGAATTCCATAAAACAATGACAAATATGAAGAGAAAGAGAATTCTATCAAATAATGATAAATATGAAAAGAAAGAGAATTCTATCAAACAATGATAAATATGAAAAGAAAGAGAATAAGTTTCATGTTAACATCTGCACCATGCGCGACTAGGAATTGGACAATCTCTTTTGAATTCATTCTGATTGCAATACTAAGAGGGCATTCATTAATATCGAGAGAATATCATAAAGCAATGATAAATATGAAAAGAAAGAGAATTTTATAGAACAATGATAAATATGAAAAGAATGAGAATGTAACAAAACAATGATAAATACAAAAAGAAAGAGAATGTCATAAAACAATAATAAATACAAAAAGATAGAGAATCCAATAAATCAAGAAATAAAATGGAATGAAAGTGAATATGATATATATAACAATGAGAAATATGACAAGAAAAAGAATTTCATAAAACAATGATAAATATGAAAAGAAAGAGAATGGTATAAAGCAATGATAAATATTAAAAGAAAAAGAATTCTATCAAACAATGATAAATATGAAAAGAAAGAGAATACCATAAAGCAATTATAAATCTTAAAAGAAAGAGAATCCAATAAAACAATTACAAATATGGAAAGAAAGATAATGTAATGAAACAATTATAAATATGGAAATGAAGAGAATTTCATATAAAAATGATAAATATGAAAAAAGAGAATTTTATAGAACAATGATAAATATGAAAAGAATGAGAATCAACTAAAATAATGATAAATATCAAAAGAGAGAGAATCAACTAAAACAACAATAAATATGAAAAGAAAGAGAAAATGATAAAACAATGACAAATATGAAAAGAAAGAGAAAGTGATAAAACAATGATAAGTATTAAAAGACAGGAAATTCTATAAAAGAATGATAAATATGAAAAGAAAGAGAATTTCATGAAACAATGATAAATATGAAAAGTAAGGGAATGTAACAAAAAAATGATAAATATGAAAAGACAGAGAATATAATAAAGAAATGGTAAATATGAAAAGAAAGAGAATGTGATAAAACAATGATAAATAAGAATTGAAAGAGAATAAGTTTCATGTTAACATCAGCACCATGCTCAACTAGGAATTGGACAATCTCTTTTGAATTCATTTTGATTGCAATAATAAGAGGGCATTCATTAATATAGAGAGAATATCATAAAACAACGATAAATATGAAAAGAAAGATAATGTTATAAAACAATGATGAATATGGAAAGAAAGAGAATAAGTTTCATGTTAACATCTGCACCATGCGCGACTAGGAATTGGACAATCTCTTTTGAATTCATTCTGATTGCAATACTAAGAGGGCATTCATTAATATCGAGAGAATATCATAAAACAATGATAAATATGAAAAGAAAGATAATGTAATAAAGCAATGATAAATATGAAAAGAAAGATAATTTCATAAAACAATGATAAAAATTAAAAGAAATAGAATGTTATAAAAAATGACAAATATGAAAAGAAAGAGAATGTGATAAAATAATGATAAATATGAAAAGAAAGAGAATTTCATAAAGCAATGATAAATACAAAAAGAAAGAGAATTTCATAAATCAATGATAAATATGGAAATAAAAAGAATCATATAAAAAATGATATATATGAAAGGAATTAGAATTTTATAAAAATATGATAAATATGAAAAGAAATAAATTGTCATAAAACAATGATAAATATGAAAAGAAAGACAATCCAATAAAACAATTATAAATATGGAAAGAAAGAAAATTCCATAAGATAATGATAAATATGAAAAGAAAGAGAATGTTATAAAGCAATGATAAATATTAAAAGAAAAAGAATTCTATCAAACAATGATAAATATTAAAAGAAAGAGAATGTAATAAAACAATGAAAAATATGAAAAGAAAGAGAATCCAATAAAACAATGATTAGTATGAAAACAAAGAGAATCCAATAAAACATTGATAAATATGAAAAGAAAGATAATTTTATAAAACAATAATAAATATGAAAAGAAGTAGAATGTGATAAAGCAATGATAAATATAAAAAGAAAGAGAATAAGTTTCATGTTAACATCAGCACCATGCTCGACTAGGAATTGGACAATCTCTTTTGAATTCATTTTGATTGCAATACTAAGAGAGCATTCATTAATATAGAAAGAATATCATAAAAAAATGATAAATGTGAAAAGAAACAGAATTCCATAAAACAATGATAAATATGAAAAGAAAGAAAATCCAATAAAACAATGATTAATATGAAAAGAATGCGAATTTTATAAAACAAAGATAAATACCAAAAGAAAGAGAATGCCATAAAATAATGATGAATATGAAAAGAAAGATAATTTTATAAAACAGCGATAAATATGAAAAGAAAAAAAATTCATATAAAAATGAAAAATATGAAAAGAATGAGAATGTAACAAAAAATGATAAATATGAAAAGAAAGAGAATGTGATAAAACAATGATAAATATGAAAAGAAAGAGAATGTTATAAATCAATGATGAATATGGAAAGAAAGAGAATAAGTTTCATGTTAACATCAGCACCATTCGCCACTAGGAATTGGACAATTTCTATTGAATTCATTATGATTGCAATAATAAGAGGGCATTCATTAATATAGAGAGAATATCATAAAGCAACGATAAATATGAAAGGAAAGAGAATGTAACAAAACAATGATAAATATGAAAGGACAGAGAATTTTATAAAGCAATGATAAATATGAAAAGAAAGAGAATATCATAAAACAATGATAAATATGAAAAGAAAGATAATGTAATAAAGCAATGATAAATATGAAAAGAAAGATAATTTCATAAAGCAATGATAAAAATTAAAAGAAATAGAATGTTATAAAAAAATGACAAATATGAAAAGAAAGATAATGTAACAAAACAATGATAAATATGAAAAGACAGAGAATTTTATAAAGAAATGATAAATATAAATAGAAAAAGAATGTTATAAAACAATGATAAATATGAAAAGAAAGATAATTTTATAAAACAATGATAAATATGAAAAGAAAGATAATTTTATAAAACAATGATAAATATGAAAAGAAAGATAATTATATAAAACAATGATAAATATGAAAAGAAAGAGAATGCTATTAAACATTGATAAATATGAAAAGAAAGAGAATTCTATACAACAATGATAAATATGAAAAGAAAGAGAATGTCATAAAACATTGATAAATACAAAAAGAAAGAGAATATCATAAAACAATGATAAATATGAAAAGAAAGAGATGATAAATTTTGTTGATATTTCCTCCATTAGAAAGTAAATAAGATGCAACATCATAATTTCCGAAATGCATGCTTTCTGCTATTGAATCAAATGTTTGACCTAAATTTGATTTAAGGTAGTCAGCAATTTCATAGTGTCGATATTTCAATGCTATATTAATCATGTTATTAAATGATTTACCTTTTTCTATCATTTCCATAAAAATGTTTTTATTTCCACCTTGAACAGCATATTCTTCGGAGTCTTTAGTGTATTGAGCTCCTAAATTTTTCAAGTAATTGAAACACAATTCTGAGCCATATTTAATTGCACAGTCAAGTGGTGTGATTTCATTAATCTCCTGGTTAATATCAAGATTTGGGAATTTACTCTTAAGATCATCAACTTTATCCCATGCAATATAGTATAAAGGAGATTCTGTTGAATATAAATCCAGAATTTCTCCTATTTTCATTTCAGGTTTGAAGTTTTCAAATTTGAAACCTTGATAATGTAGAAGAGTCGCTAGTCTCTTACTTTTCGGTTCATATATGTATGAAAATGCGTTTGATATCTTTTGATAAAGTTCTGCAAATAATTTAGTTTTTTTAACAAGAATTTGTGAAGAAATATCAATCAGATAAAGCGCCATTTTGATAGATATTTTGTGGGTTGTTATTAATTCCATAATTTGCGAAGTTATTTGTTCTATATTTTTGGAATTGACGCCAAATATAATTTTTGCTGCTTGATCTGGGTATTCGAATACTTTGATTGGCTTAAGGTCACTGTAATTGAACCAATTTTCTTTTTTTGGCTGCTCTGAACTTGTCATTCTATGTAAAATTTTTATAAGGGAGAAGTTTGAATAGTTGTAAATTTTTTAAATAATCACTTTATCTCTGCATGGCGGCAACATTTTTGGATAACAATAAGTGCTATGAGCACAGTCATAGTCAGAGTAGATATTGACAAAGTTCCGACGATCTCACTATTCTGTACATGTTTCTCAATTACTATCATTAAAATTGAATCAAGTCATTAAATACAAAGCTAGGTTTTTGGAAAATGGTAGAAATGATCATTGTAACTATTTTTCAATAAAGATAGGAGAACAGAATACACAACAATAACTTACACAGTTGAATACTAAATTAAGATTTTGAAAAACTTTATTTTAGCAAAACAACTCTTTGTTCATGAAATCATTATTGAGTTATATTATACTTCAATTCTTATGATGATGCATAGATCAAATTATCAAACTTACAAAATTAAGCGGATGCTTCCGTATAAATGAATCAAGTGTCTGAATTCTGATTTTGATCACGTAATAACGTTACATATGATACTCCTCCTTGTGCTGCAAAAATAGGAGAGCTTTCTTTTAAGCTAGGCTTCTCATTTAGAGCTCTATTTAATTTTTTTGCCCAGATTTTAAGGCTGCACTTACGCCCATTTGACTTTAATTCAAATTTTTGACAACTGGCGTGAAGCATCATTGAAAATTTACCTTAAACTTCTGAATTGAAGGCCATGTCATAGGGGCGTAAGTGCACCCTTAACAATTTCTATAGCGTGTCAAAAAAGTAAACTATTCATATTAAAGCATGTGCTAAATAACTTGAATATAGAAAAAGTTACTAAAATTTGAGGAAATTACAACAATAAGAAAAAAAGTCGTCTTTTATATCTAAGTTACTTATAAATTACAATAATCTCTTCAATGAGTGCACAGTACCGCATATAATCTTTTGATATTTCTGACATCAATTTTAAACATTTTGATTGGAGTATTCATAGCTCAAATCTACACGATAGTTACGACATTTATGCCAATAAAGTACGTTTTCACTCATCTATTTACATATTGTTGTAATTAGGTGAATTGGAAATCTGATTGAAATATGATAGAAAGTAATAAGAAATTAATTTAAAATTTACTGTATTAGTGGCTTTTCACAAAGTATAAAATTGTTTATTCTGCTATTTTTCTCCAATTATCCAATTTCATTGATATGAAAAAAAAAATATCGTTCCTAAAAAATATATATGAACTCCATTACCACTCTTTTTGAGCTTCCAAAAGAGCTTGGTACGGATCTTTCTGGGACAAAAGTATCTATTGCAGGCAAATTTTCACTATTGCTTTTTGATAAGGAGAATTGAAGCTTCATTCTTCGGCAGTAAATTCAATTATCCTTTCAGAGACAGGAGTTAACAGTTTTGCCTGGATAGAAACCACAATCTCCAAGCAAGAGTTACTTGCTGTTACAAAAGGAAACTCATTAGTTATTTATGCCTTTGAAAATATTAAAACCGACGCTTCTCCTTTTGATTCGTCTGCAACCGTTTATTCATTCTCTCCAAGACAACTCAACGAGCATATCACTGAAATCATTTCGCTTCCATTAAAGTCGTCAACCGCAGAATTAATCAGTTCCGGCTTAAATAAAATCATATTTATTGATCAGAATAATAAATTCAATATGTACAATATTTATCCTGACGGAATTTACCAGCGCTCAATTATTGATGTTCAAAATTGTTCAATTTTTGCTTTTGATGGCAACTTTTATGCCGGTTTGTCATCAACTGAACTTCATACATGGGATAACAACTTAACACATATCGCTTCATCCGTCGTATCTGGTTCAAATATCATAGCAATCGGGCCAAAACAATTTATAGTCACAATTCTCAATCAAGCAAATCTTTACGACATTGACTGCAAGCTCGTTCGCAAGTACTCCATTTCAAACCAGAATTCAGAGTTTGTTTCGATACTTTCGGAGAATGACGTTTTTTCATTACCAAAAGAATACAAACTCTGCAGCGCAAACACATTCTTACCACTTTTCTTAAACAGTAATAACGAAATATGCACAATAAACGATGATATTTACATGCAAAGAATTCTTGACATTTTCCCTTTGTCCGTAGCCATTCCAATACTATCTAGCCGTGTCGGACAAGTCGGAACTGGCACAGAGTTTCTTGCTGAATCAGCAGTTAAAGCAAGAAATGTAGGAATGATTGATAATTTCATTAGAACTCAAGAAACAGCATCAGTCATGACATTTATGGACTCAATATTCAACAAACTCAAAGAGCCCAAAAACAACCAATTTATTTTTGCTGTTTTCCCTGTAATTTCGTCTTATTGCGTCAATCAAATCAAAGGAGGCAAGAAAGAGTTCAGCGACGTCCTTGTAAAGTTCCGTTCCCTTATTGCCCCTCAAGTTATCCAGCAGCCGAAGCCTGCAGTCCAAGAGCAGCCAAAACCAGTCAATACTCGTCGCATTAGAAAAGAGGAACTTGTCACTTTTTGTATCGAAGCTCTTAAGAAGAATAATGTTACACAATCACTTCCTGTTCTTAAACTCAGTTTCCCTGATTTTACGAACTCATTCCACTTATTTCGGACAATTATTCTTCAGCAAGTTTGGGTTCACGTTTGTTCGAACCAATTAAACGAAGCAGCCAAGTTAATTGAAGAACTCGGTGAAGTTCCAGGCGAACACTTCAGAGAGATGTGGAGACAAACAACGAGAAACAAAACACGCCAGTTATTATACGATTATTTACATAAACAATCGTTGTTGTCCGAACAAGATGAACAAAACCATCAAATACTTTTAAAGATAACGACGAAGTACCCCAACACTTCGTTCTCCGTTGCACAGAAACTCTCTGTTACTCAGCCATTCAAGAACGTTTCAGATGACGCGAAATTACCTCCTTGGAAACCAATTGTTGATTTGACAGCCGATTACAATGAAAATGCAAATCTCACTTTTTCAGAACTATTCAAAATTCCACCTGAACCGATAGTTGAATCACCGAGGTATTTCGTGGGAAACATTGCTCTCATTGAAGCACAATCACCAAAGACAATCAAGATGCTAACAATAGAAGGAACAAGTGTCGAAAGATTGTGGGTTTTGCATTGCGAGCATCGCGTTCTTGATATGCATGAGATGTTTAAATCCGAAATTGAAAAGGCAAAGAACGTAAATCCAACACCAAAACTTGTTTGTTTGAAATTCATTAACACATATCATTCACAAATGAATGTTTATGAATTGGAAACATTGTTGGATGTCCTTTGCAAGAATGGTTTCTTCGCACAGTTCGAATTGGATGATTTCGAATTGTTACTTGTCAGAATTTGCAAGAACAAGTTTTTGTTCGACCAACAATGGTGGTCAACAACAAAACTTGACTTCACAGACTTCTTCAAGAAATTCGCTTCATACTGCGCCAAGAAATCTCTTTTCATGCCATTCGAAATGTTCGTAATTTCACATCCTAAAGCCAAAGAAGTTGATTTGAGCGATCTCCAAGAACCATTGATCAGATTCATCTGGGATTTGTGGGTAAAGAGAGATCCAGCGGCTGCAACTTTAAGTTGCATGCAATTTATTGCTAAATCAAATTCAACAGATCCGATTGAATTATGGAAATCTCTTCCATCGGAATCTCTTGCTCCTTTGGCTTCTTTCGTTTGGAACAAAGACCCTGAGAAGTTCAAACCAGGATCTCCAGAAACAATAGCTTTGAGCGAAAGACTTAAACAGGAATATCCTCTTTTGAGTAGTTTAGTCAAAGGAGAAATTCCTCATCCGAAAGGTCCTGAAAAAGTGAAACCGGAATCGAAATGGAGATCTCCAATTTACACTTCAAAATACGACTTAGAACTCCATGATTTGATACAAAGTCATTTCGATTTCGATTTCTCCAAAGTATTCACTAATTTCTACGGAAATTACCCAGGACAACCGAATTATCCTCACTTCGACCACCCAGAATTAATTGCTGCCCCCGCAGAACCTCCTTACGTCCATTACGTGAAATCGATGTTGCCTGTTTCCGCGTTCCAACAAGCTGTTGAAGACGGCGTTGATGAGCAGAAGTTCAAAGATTTGTGCCATCAATGCATGAAAGAGGCTTTGACAGACCAAGAAGTCAGATTGGCCGCATTGACATTCATCGAACTCACTGACATCAAATTCGGTTTCGATTCGGCAACTGATTACAAGATGGTTTTGGCAATTTACGACAAACTCGCAAGTGGAACTAACGACAACACAGAGATTGTCAATGATTTGTCACAGATCTTCTTGACACATAACTCTGATGCTGCTGTCCGCCTTCAAAAGAAGCTCCAACCATCCGAAATCGATACGTTTTTGTTGACAACTTTGTTAGGTGTCAGATGCGGTTTGCCACTTGATTACACACCAATTGTAAACTTCTCGAGAAGACCAAGACCCGCAGAACTCTTGTTGTTCATTGATAGAGCTGCTGAGCTTGGTGCAAACTACCAGATCTCAGAGGTTGTTAAAATTGTTCAAGCGGAAATGCCTGAATCAAAGGATAATCCTCTCAAAGACCACCTTTTATTCCACTTAAACCAGTCGTTACCAGCCGAGGAAGGACCCTCATCAAACGATGTTCCCCCTGCTTTAGTTATTTTCAGGGCTGTAAGGAAGGCTGGACCACAGCAGCAGCAAGCCGCTTTGTTACAAGAAGCTTTGAACAGAAAGACACAATTATACGCATTATTGGCCACTTCTGTTGACGATTCAGATAATCTTTTATGCGCATTAGTGACATTGATGACCATGGTTGATGCTCCACCACCTATTGATGTCCAGTATCCACCAGCGCATGATAAGATGGTTCAAATGTTCATGCAAGTCCTCATGAAATTATTATTGTCAAAGAAGTCAATGGAAGCAATGCAAGCTCTTGAGTTATTCAGTGACTCATCAATTGTTGTCAGCTTGGTTCACTTCTACAGATCAGTAGAACTGTTTTCTTTCAGAAGAACAGAAAAAGTTTTGCCACAGCTCAAGGAAAAGCTTTCTCAAGCTACAATCGAGGATGATTTGCTCGGATCCGTTCCTGTTGATGTCATCAAAGACTCTTTCTTCCAAATGAACGATCTTTTGATCAAATTATGTTCAGCTCGTTCCCAGATCCATGTTTTCAGGTTCTTAGAGCTCCTTGATGGCTGCCCAGTCTCCGATTTCCTCAAACCTCGCGTTGCTCTCTGCAAGAAGATTTCGACATTTGAGAACTTCAGAAGGGCCATTGTCCACTGCGATTTACTTGGCGCACCAGATAAGATCGTTTCCGACCTTATTTTGAACCATTCCCTTGCTTTGGGACAAGCCGCCGCAGAATGTCTCGGAACGTCATCAGCAAACGCAACAAAGCAATGGCTTACGTTCCAGTATTCGACAGCCGCCACTCCAGCCCAAGTTTTGGAGATCCACAAGCAGATATCTTCAACAATCCAAAATGCGGATCCAATTTTCTTCGTAACATTATTTGCCGCATTGTTACCATATGCACAGCCCACGTTCTCCACGGAAATCGCCAAATACGCTCGTTCTCTCTTCAAAGATGATTCATCGAAACTTTGCAAGCACTTAGATGCTCTTCTAGTTCATCTCCAGATCTGTTCCGATAACAACATCGAAGTCAATGGTCCTCCAGGTGCTCCACCCTCTTTAAAGGATCTTTTGACACTTTTATTCCCATTAGTAGAAATCACTGATCTTTCAACGAGTGTCAACTTATCTTTAGCCTCTCCTCTTCTCTTTAACCTCGAAACTCTTCAGAGATTCTTCGATTCCAGTGTCGACAAAGCCATCGATGTTTGTTTAGACACAAGAAGAGTTTCAGATGCAAGGTTGCTTTGCGAATGGCGAAACAGAGATCCACACAACATCCATCTCCTTGAAACAGTTCAATCCGCAATAACAGGCGATTGCATGACCGCCGAAGGAATCGAACTGCTTAAGAACTACGGAAATACAACAGGAGATTTGGAGAATATGTTGGATAACGTCGCCAAAAACAAACAATGGAGATTTGTTTTGATTTCTTTGCATTACAAAGCAGCGAAGAAACTAAATTTTCCAACACAAAACATATTGAGGCAAAAGACAAGCGAGTTTATCGAATCAAAACTCTCAATAACTTACTCGGAGTGGCCATTGATTTCCCAGTTGATCAAAGCTTCACAAATGACACAACAAGAAGCAGCGAAATCACTGGCGAATTCATATGCAAACCACGTACAAAACGTGTTAGTAAAACATGAATCAATTGGTGGAACAATTCCTGTTGACGATTATACGAACAATTTCCATGATTTCACAAAACTCTGCGATTCTCCATCATTAATTGGGGAAAACTTGTTCCAAATTGCACAGAACCTTCCACGAGGAACTCCTCTTTCCGTGAGAGTTAATCTCCTTTTGCATTCATCAACATGCACACCAGATATCGATGAATGCGCCGAAACATTGGATTCTTTGATCGACACATTGACAGGAAACAATGAACTCAAGCTCATCATTGACATTGTTTCCGTATTCCCTGATCCTGCCTTGTTGCCAAGATACTTCCAGTATCTCATTGCTCAACAGAAATTGGACACTTTGCCACATGGCCAATTATCCGAAAAAGTTGGACGTGTTATAATGAACTGCGCAAGACACGTTCATCCATTCGAGCCACAGAAGTACTTCGACTTGACTTTGCAGTACTCATTATTCAGAGATCACGCAGAACTTCAAATGGAATGTGGAAGTAGATTACTTCAAGGAGTTCCTGATAAATCACAACTCCAAGAAGCATCAAGACATTATCTTTTGGCATTGGCTTATTTCCTTCATGAAAAATGCTACTCACTTTCCATGGAATGCCTTAAGAAACTGTCTTTGATCTCTTTGCAATTGGAAGTTCCTGAACCAAGCATTTTGCACTTGGACAAGCAACAAGTTCTCCAGTTAATGTGCACAAAGGACTTCCCATTTGCATTGACAATTGCTGTTGCTTTTGATATGGATACAGAAGCAAATTGGGCTGAAGCTCTGTACGCACAAAGCGTTCAGAACAAGGGCGAAGACTTCTTGACTGCGTTCCAATACTTCAGACCAATAACAAGCAATTTATGCGATGGTGTTGTGAGAAAGTTCAAGGCTTCAACACAAGATGAAGGACAAAAGGATAGAATGAAACAATTTTTGTTGAATATTCCTAACTTAGTTGAAAGATACAGAATTGCTAAGTCCCTTGACTTCCAGGATCAGATTGAATCAATGAAGGAAGTCAACCCTGTCGTTTGCGAATGGTGTGAACGCGTACTTATGAGTAAGCAATAAATAATTATTTATTAATATTGATTGATTTTTTATTCATTGTCTATTCTGTATATTTTGTCAATATAATGTTGTTATATGAATTCCCAAACTTTTCTCAAAATGAGAGAGTGGAAATTCACAAAAGAATAATTCGATGAAAATAATAGTGAACATTAAAGATATCCAAAAAGCGTTCATGCGCTAGTATCCATGATACAAAATATTAAGAATTTTTATGTTAAAAACTAATGTGAATATAAAAAGCAATAAAATCAAAATGAGGAAAAGAAAATAGAAGATAGGAGGAATAAAGATAGGAAGATATTCAAAAAAAGTGCACCGTTTATGTATTTAGTGTGTTATATGAAGATATTTAAGGAGTTTATAAACAAAAACGAAGAATTAAGGAAGAAATCATGATAGAACAGAGTAAATAGCAGGAATTAATGAACATAATGTATGTAGTTTAAGTAGATAAACATATTTATTGCGTTTTTTAAAAAAGTTTTGTTTAAGGAAAAGAAATGTTTTTATTGATATCATAGCATGTCAGTACATTAATTTGAATGATTAGTATATTTAGTGACATTTAGCATTATTCGAGTTTTGTATTGTTTTCAATAAGTTCTCTTATTCATAGCTTTGTGGACTTTCGATACAATGAACATTCACTCAAATCAATAGACAAATGCCAAACATAGACGTTATAGAATCAATATATGTTGTCAGCGAGAAAGCTGCCTGTAGCGAAATAAAAAAAAAGCAATAAAATTTTGAGAATAACCTTATTGAACAAAGAAACTATCATGTATTAATGTTTTAAAAAGGGAGAAATCAAAAGCAGAGAAAATCATCGCGCGGTTCTTCACATTCTCAGAATTGATATGATAGTTCAATAAAATAAAACTTTTGATAGGAACCATCACTTCACTTGCGATGGCTAACAAACTTATCGATCCAGCAACATCACCACACGTCAAAGATGTCACTAAAGTTGAGCTTCCTGCTACAATGGAGAAGGCCGCATTGTTCGTTGTCAACGATTACAACGGCACTAAGTACGATCTTGGTTTAGGTCCAGATAACGATGGCTACCACATGTCCAAGCTTTTCTCCACATTCGGCTTCGACTGCTACTATCTTCGCAACGCTCGTAAAGCACAGTTCCTTCAATATCTTGGCCACTTCTTCAAGAACGTCACAAAGCACATGGCTCTTTTCTATGTCGGCCATGGCACAAACATCAAAGACTTAGATGGTGACGAGGACGACGGCTTTGATGAAGCATTGTTCTTTGTCGACGGTGTTGTTGTTGATGATGTCCTTATCCACCACCTTATCGAGAACAAGAACCCAGAGTCAGTTCTTACATTGATCACTGATGCCTGCCACTCCGGCACTATCTGGGACATCCAGTCCGGCAACTTCAAAGGCCGTGAGCTTCCAGCTAAGATCATGTCCATCTCAGCAGCAGCAGATAAGCAGACAGCTAAGCAGACCGTTGTCGAGAAGATGGAGCAAGGCATGTTCTCATACAACTTCAGAAAACTCATCAAAGGCGACGCTAACTTGAAGCCACGCGACTTGAAGAGAGGCATCAAGACAGCTCTCCAAAAGTTCAGCCAGACATGTGCTATTGCTACAACATCTGCCGAACTTCTCGACATCCCAATCATGCAACCATAATTTTTTTTATTTTATAGCAAAATCATATGTTTATCTCTTTTTTATAGTGTCTAAACATTCTATTTTTTTATCGGTAGAATCTATTATCGATATTTTTTTTTGTTGAGAAATTTATTTTTTGATTTCAGATCATGTGATTTTGATATCGTATTCATCATTCAATGCATTTTGTTTGTTTGTTTGTGATATGTAATCAAAATGGATCAATATAGACAAAAGAATTATCGATTATTTTACACACTGTTATTCATTTCTTCGTTATATGCATAATAAACTATATGTGCATGTCATGATCATACTGTGATGATAAAATGTTCAATAATCACATTCTGTGAGTTTCTCGCACTAAAAAAATCATGAAACACAAAATAAAAACAACGTTCGATGAATCAAATGTACAGATTTGCTAAATAATATTATATTTTGATATCATCTTACAAAAATAGAATCACTTACATTTTCGCTTTTCCTACTTCCTTCATAATTTACCAAAAGCTCATTCACACTCGCATCAACAACTGACAATAAAAATATATCATTTTGTTATTTAATGAAAATAAATCATTATAAAAACTTTTGAATAATAATCTTAATTTGATGTTCAATTTCTAAACAACAACATCAGCATAACCTTTTCATTAATGGCTCTGAAGTTTTTTGTTAATAGTAGCTATCTCAAGTGCCTAAAATAATTCAAATTCGATGAGTTTAAATAATAAATAATGCATATCAAATATAGTACTTTATTCTTTCTATTTATTGATGGAGAGGAACAACACCACGAACTTCTAAAGATCTCTGAAGTCTTGTGAAAGCTTTGCTATCACCAGTAATTTCAGCGGTAGACTCTGGCACCTTTTCAGCTTCATAAAGAGGTTCGTCAGCAATATACTTTTCTAAATGGCTGACCTTTTCTTTCTTTGGACGAGATGCGATTTCCTTATTCCTTTCTTCTACTTCCTTAGCAGCTTGCTTTGTATTTTCGAATTCAGGAACAAGAGCATCTTCTACTCTCTGTCTAGCAATACGATTATTTTCTTTGATGATCTTTCTAATGCGCATTTTTTCAGCAACAGGCATGTTTTCTGGTAAGTATGCATTGAGAATGAGGTCGTGCTTTGGCTTTGGATCTGGTTTTGGTGGAATAATCTTATCAAGATTATCTGGAACAGCAGGAACATCACCTTCAAGGTAATCTCCGATGCCATCATGATATTCTTCATCATGGACTTCTTCAGCTGGATCAACGGCAGTAACAGTTTCTGTTTCTTCGATCTGTGGTTTCTTTGGTTGGGTAATAAGTTTTGCGGAGTTGTAAGATTCATCTGATGTTGGTAAATTAGCTTTCTTTGGCTTCTGATTGACTCTGTTTTCGTATTTATTTGGTTTGTATTTCTTTTGAACTGGTTCTTCGCCCCAAAGGTCAACAAGTTCTGTTTTCGGTGGTGCTGGTCTCTTTTCTATATTTGGACGTGGATGAAGTGGAATTTTCACTTTCTTTTTTTCAACAAGTCCATCATCTTCTTTGAAGAGTGCTGAATTTGGAACGATATCTGGTATTTTTTCCTCACTCTTCTTGATTTCTTGCTGAAGGACAGCCTCTGCGACTGCTTTTTCACGCTGTTGCTTCTTCCTATTTCCCTTAGGCATTTTAAATTCTTCCCGAGAAGCCACAAAAAGACGATAGAAGACATTTTTGAGCAAAATTTTCGGATTGTTTTAGGCACTTGAGATAGCTACTATTAACAAAAAACTTCAGAGCCATTAATGAAAAGGTTATGCTGATGTTGTTGTTTAGAAATTGAACATCAAATTAAGATTATTATTCAAAAGTTTTTATAATGATTTATTTTCATTAAATAACAATATGATATATTTTTATTGTCAGTTGTTGATGCGAGTGTGAATGAGCTTTTGGTAAATTATGAAGGAAGTAGGAAAAGCGAAAATGTAAGTGATTCTATTTTTGTAAGATGATATCAAAATATAATATTATTTAGCAAATCTGTACATTTGATTCATCGAACGTTGTTTTTATTTTGTGTTTCATGATTTTTTTAGTGCGAGAAACTCACAGAATGTGATTATTGAACATTTTATCATCACAGTATGATCATGACATGCACATATAGTTTATTATGCATATAACGAAGAAATGAATAACAGTGTGTAAAATAATCGATAATTCTTTTGTCTATATTGATCCATTTTGATTACATATCACAAACAAACAAACAAAATGCATTGAATGATGAATACGATATCAAAATCACATGATCTGAAATCAAAAAATAAATTTCTCAACAAAAAAAAATATCGATAATAGATTCTACCGATAAAAAAATAGAATGTTTAGACACTATAAAAAAGAGATAAACATATGATTTTGCTATAAAATAAAAAAAATTATGGTTGCATGATTGGGATGTCGAGAAGTTCGGCAGATGTTGTAGCAATAGCACATGTCTGGCTGAACTTTTGGAGAGCTGTCTTGATGCCTCTCTTCAAGTCGCGTGGCTTCAAGTTAGCGTCGCCTTTGATGAGTTTTCTGAAGTTGTATGAGAACATGCCTTGCTCCATCTTCTCGACAACGGTCTGCTTAGCTGTCTGCTTATCTGCTGCTGCTGAGATGGACATGATCTTAGCTGGAAGCTCACGGCCTTTGAAGTTGCCGGACTGGATGTCCCAGATAGTGCCGGAGTGGCAGGCATCAGTGATCAATGTAAGAACTGACTCTGGGTTCTTGTTCTCGATAAGGTGGTGGATAAGGACATCATCAACAACAACACCGTCGACAAAGAACAATGCTTCATCAAAGCCGTCGTCCTCGTCACCATCTAAGTCTTTGATGTTTGTGCCATGGCCGACATAGAAAAGAGCCATGTGCTTTGTGACGTTCTTGAAGAAGTGGCCAAGATATTGAAGGAACTGTGCTTTACGAGCGTTGCGAAGATAGTAGCAGTCGAAGCCGAATGTGGAGAAAAGCTTGGACATGTGGTAGCCATCGTTATCTGGACCTAAACCGAGATCGTACTTAGTGCCGTTGTAATCGTTGACAACGAACAATGCGGCCTTCTCCATTGTAGCAGGAAGCTCAACTTTAGTGACATCTTTGACGTGTGGTGATGTTGCTGGATCGATAAGTTTGTTAGCCATCGCAAGTGAAGTGATGGTTCCTATCAAAAGTTTTATTTTATTGAACTATCATATCAATTCTGAGAATGTGAAGAACCGCGCGATGATTTTCTCTGCTTTTGATTTCTCCCTTTTTAAAACATTAATACATGATAGTTTCTTTGTTCAATAAGGTTATTCTCAAAATTTTATTGCTTTTTTTTTATTTCGCTACAGGCAGCTTTCTCGCTGACAACATATATTGATTCTATAACGTCTATGTTTGGCATTTGTCTATTGATTTGAGTGAATGTTCATTGTATCGAAAGTCCACAAAGCTATGAATAAGAGAACTTATTGAAAACAATACAAAACTCGAATAATGCTAAATGTCACTAAATATACTAATCATTCAAATTAATGTACTGACATGCTATGATATCAATAAAAACATTTCTTTTCCTTAAACAAAACTTTTTTAAAAAACGCAATAAATATGTTTATCTACTTAAACTACATACATTATGTTCATTAATTCCTGCTATTTACTCTGTTCTATCATGATTTCTTCCTTAATTCTTCGTTTTTGTTTATAAACTCCTTAAATATCTTCATATAACACACTAAATACATAAACGGTGCACTTTTTTTGAATATCTTCCTATCTTTATTCCTCCTATCTTCTATTTTCTTTTCCTCATTTTGATTTTATTGCTTTTTATATTCACATTAGTTTTTAACATAAAAATTCTTAATATTTTGTATCATGGATACTAGCGCATGAACGCTTTTTGGATAATTCTTTTATAAATTTTTCAAAATTTTTTTCAAAATTCAAAAAATAATTTATAATTTATTCATTTTCCTTGTTAATTTATTTAATACAAAAAATTCAGATTTATACAATTATCTATTTTTACTTATAAATCAATATTTTAACATTTAAATTCACATTATATCTTAACTATCTATTTTTAATATTATTTTTCGTGACATTTTCAGGTATATTCGATTTATCCCATTCCAAAACAGATAAAAATACCAAATTATTAACAAATCATTGAATAATTCATATTTTCAAAAAATTCATCATGTCAGAATTATTTCTTATCCTTTATATTTAAAAATAACTACATATACCCTAAGTTAACTAATACTATATCTATTTTTACGCATTTTGATTCAGAAATGAAAAAAGAAGTCAATCCAAGGACTCTCTTCATCCAGAAGATTGCTCTTTTGACAGTTACTGCAGCATTATCTCTCTTCTTTGCAACACACCACATGCTATATTTATGCTTTTTCTTCATTCCAATTCTCTTTGTTTTGCAAAATGCTCCAGATTATATAATGCTTAACACTCAAGATGATGTCAACAAGAAATTTGGACCTCCAAAGATCGGAAAAGAAGAAGCGGCAAACTATCTAACAAAATTTTTAGAAATTTTATGGCCAAATATTTTTTCACAGGAGCGTGTCGAACAATTCAAGGAAAGTTTACAATGGGTGGTCGATCAACAGAAGATTCCATACTTAGAAAAACTTATTCTCAAAGAAATTAAACTTGGCAATACATCCCCTCAGATTACCTTCGTTAAAATACCAGAAAAACCAAAAGCAGCAAAGAATTCTCTCATATTTGAACTACAAGCAATCTACTATCCAACCTTTGTTTTAAATTCAGTACTATTTTTGAAAAATCCTTCAATCGATGTCAAAGTTTCTTTCAACAATCTTACTGTACAATTTGATATGCTCGTTCAATTTGAGTTCAAAGAAGAGCCAGAATTACCCGAAATTCCGTTTTGTACAGCAATGGACTTTTCTCTTACCAAGAATCCACAAATTATTGGTTTTGATGTCACCGTTGCTAATATGACATCATTATTTAACGGCGAAGATCTTAAAAAGAGAATGAGTTCAGCTGCATCAAATACAATTTGGGGATTATGTGGCCAACCGAACGGATTCCTGTGGGAAAGAAACTCTAGTGTATGGAAGATTGCAACAGTATTTGGAAAGTTCGCAATGAAGAGAAGCAGCATGAAATTACGTGATTTGAGAAGAGATTCACAAATCAGGCAAGATGCTCTTGAACATATCAGGAAATATAAGATTGCAATGCCATTAGCCCTTGTTTGTACCGCTTACAAAGATGCAGAAACAACAACAAAATATTTCCAAATGCTGGTCGATTTTTCGGACAAATACAACATCGATGCATTCGATGATTTCGTAGCCAAGGTCAGCGGCTGGAATCCTTCGCCAGATGAACTGACATCAATAATGTCATTGACATATGACTTCATTTTCGATTGGTTCTCGAAGTTTAGCAAGAGAAACATCGAAATGAAGAAAGGCTTGACAAAGGAATGCGAAACAAGAATCGGAAAGATTATGACTTTTATTAACTTTCTTTCTTCGCAGAAGAAGAACTGTCCTCAAGCTTTCGAGAAGCTTGGCGTTGAACGCAAGATTGACCTTCTGTTCAACGTTATTTCGACAACACAAAAAGAATTAATCAAAAATAGAAAATGAAATGTTTTAGTAAACTATTTTATATTTAATAACCCTATCATCATTTTTCTTAATCCTATTTCTTACATTATTCTTATTTTTCATGACAATATTTATTTAATATAGATTTCAAATTACAATCAAAAAGCTACAATATTAGAACAAAAGTGGATAAATATATTAGTTTGCTAACTTAGTACATGGTATTCATGATATTCATGTTAGATAATTCGCATTAGAACATTAATTGACCTAAATTGAGATAGTATAATGGTATATTTAGTCGTGTTTATCAAATAGATTTAGTATTAGAAACACAGCTTGGCATAACAATCTCAAATCAAAGATAGTATTTACTTTGGTAGCTAAGGTACATAAAAAAGCTGATTTGAATCAATGTTTGATTGCAATTCTCAGCAATATCCTTTATCTTTGTGTTAGATTTTACTACTTTGATCATAAATCGCCTTCACAATCCAATTATAATTGATTTTTCAAAACAAAAATTTTAGAAATGGCGCCAAAATTTTGGTAAATCAAAAAATTATCATGGATGATCTCAATTCAATGAATATTCAAGGCATGCCAAATTACGGCGAGTTAAATATTGACAATCAAGCCATTAATCCTTTACCTCAAGCTGATAAACAAAAGATTAAAAGACCTCCAAATGCTTTTTTATTATTTTGTCGAGATAAAAGACAATCTGCCCGCGGAGAAAATCCAGATATGAAAAACGTTGATGTATCTCAGGTACTTGCCGATCAATGGAAAAATCTTGATGATACAGAAAAATTACACTACAAAGCTTTAGCAGCAGAGCAACAAAAGCTTTTCAAGGAAGAAAATCCAGATTATAAGTATGAAAAAGCAAAAGCCAAACATATGATTAACAAAATGAAACTACGTCCAGAGTTTAAAAATGTTACAAATGTTTTAGACGTCAAAACACTTTTAGCAATGCCAATAGATGATGCAAAAGCATACATGCTTTACATTGCAAGCCAGTCAATACCACAAAATCAAATAAATGATCAAAATGTTAATCAAAATTTTCAAATGGACAATTCTCAAGCTAATCAGCAACAATTACCAGGAATTTAATCAAAGCTAGTTACAAATCAGATCTAAATTTAATGATTGCAAAAATTTCAAAATTTTGATTCATTGATGACTTTTACAATCATTTTCCTTTCACAAGATTCATTTTAGATGTTCATTTAAATAATGTGTCAATTGATTCACATCTATTCTATTGTCATTTTGATTTATTTGGGAAAATTTCGTCCAGGTCAGAATTTGAAGCATGTTTCCCAAATAGAAAAAACATCTCATACTTGTAATGAGATTTGTTCATATTTATTTCGAATTCTTTATAAACCAGAAAATTAGGAATAAAAAGAATATACATGATACCTTTTTATATGATAATCATTAGATATAAGTTTTTAAATACCCAAATATCATATTTCATAAAAGTTATTTGAGAAAATTATATCTAAAATATTGGAATTGCTTTTTGTTCAAGGAACTAGATGAATTAAGGATCATTATGCACAAAATAAGCTACAGCATCTTCAGTTGTAAGTAGTTTTGAAGGATATCTGGATAATATTGAATTTTGAATTGTAACTTTTTTATTTCTGAATGATATTCTGATTTTTATAATGTGCTTTAAAGATAATGCAACTGGATTTTGAAGATTACTATTGCTCTTTGCTAGAATTGAATTATGGATTTCAGTTTATAATAAAAAATTTTTTTTGTGTAATTTTTTTTTTAGAATAAAAATTAAATGATGAATAAACAAGGCAAAGCCAACGAACAAATTCCTCGCAAGCAAGAGGGCGAAAAAATATTCGGGGCTCCGCCAAAACAAGTTAAGCGTGACGAGAAAGCAGTAAACAACCGTCAATCCGGAATTCCTGCTAAGAAGTCCTCGAAAGCGGACAAAACATCAGCACTCGTTGTTTGCACAAATCAAAACGCACCAACTGCATATGACAAACAAAATTTCAAAGCAGATCGTACTAATAAATCAAATGAAAGATATCAAAATCGTGATATTGACGATGATGAAGATTTCGTTATTACAACAGATAATGTGAAGCCTCTTCAGACACCAGATTCAAACCAAAAGCGTTTTCAGCCAAAAGGTTCTAAGATTGGAGCTTCTCCAAAGATCAACGCCGACGCCTTAGAAGGTGATGATGTTGAAGAAGTCGAAGTTATTACATATAATAAAGGCAAAAAGGGAAGTAATGCTTCTGCAAAGAAATTTACAACAAGACGTAGTTCCACAAATACACAAAATTCAATTCAACTCGAACAAGAAATGGATGAAGAAGAAGATACTGATGACGCACGCTCAGCTTCCACTGCTCATTCAGTTAGAATCAATAAAAACGAAGATGACGACGAATCTCAGCATTCTCATAGACACCACAGAAGGCATTCCAGATCAAACCGCTCTCATCACCATCGCCGTGAGACATCCGGCAACGAATCATATGTTGACGACCAAAACGTCGACCAATTAGCCCAAGACCGTGCTCTTTCTGCAGAGCAGAACCAAAGCGAAGAAGAAAATACAGATGAAGGCGAACAGGACAAACCAAAATCAATTCTTAAGAAGAATTCAGGCGCTTCAACCCCAATTAAAGACGAAAACAAACTTGCATCCGACGAACAAGGCAAATTTACACTCTTTGACGGCATCCTCGACCAACTTAACAATTGTTCGGATTCCGCAATGCAGAAACTTTCACAGTGGCAGCGCCAACTCCTTCGTTTTCTTTCTCCTCTTGAAGAGCAGCAACTCCAGCACTGGTATCTCCTCACAACTGCCTACTTAGAACAGCAAGGAATCACACATGACGAAAAGAGCCTTGCTTTTCGCGAAGAACTCGACGCAATTGTCGAAGTTGTCATGGAGAAGCATGGGTTCACAACTTTACAAGGAGTTCTCCACAGAATGAGAGTTTTCATCACTGGTCCAAGAAAATCTGGCAAATCGACACTTTTATCATTAACCGCCCAACGTGCTTTGATCGAGCTTGCTGCCGGAACAGAGTGGAAGCACACATTTGTCTTTGCCTATGATTTTGCCACTAATTCACACACTGTTACTGACAACGCCGAGCTATACAAGACATTTGTCAGGGCCACATTTGCAGGATTATCCGCGCAAAGGCCATTATTATCAGAGCACGCTGCAGCGCTTTCCAAAGCCTTCTGTGATGTTGTTGATGGAAATCCATTGCTTCCTAAGTCATTCACAGCATCAAATGACTTCAGATTGCTTGTTCCACAGATCTCCTCAATTCTTTCCTTCCTCCAAGAGTGCTGGCGCGATGAAGACAAATCAGCTTTCATTGCAAACGCTGTCGCTTTCCCACAGCAGATTTCAGCAGTTTTCGGTTTCGATAGATTGCTCGTTATCGCCGACCACTTCGACGCTTTCGCAACAGAGATGTCTCCACAAGAATTGTACGTAATTGGAAACGTTAAGATCTTGCTCAACACAAGCAATTTCATCGTTGCAAGCCAGTCGCAAGAAAAAGCGGCAGAAATTGCTAAACCAGCTGATATCGATGATGACGATTTGACACAGTCACTTTGCAAGTTATCTACACTCGATGTTGTCAATGAGGATCCTTTCGATGGTGTCGAATTCTCTTTGACAATCGAGAACTCAGCAAAGAGAGTACAAATCAACTTCCCACTCTTCGGAGGTTGCCCAGCTTTCCTCGTGATGTGGAACGAACTCAACGATCTCGCCGCAAAACATGAGGCGGCGTCGAACGGAGAAGATACTGAGGATGACCCTGAGGAAATACAGATACTCCTTGTGAACAAGGCAACTGAGATTTTCAGCGCTTTAACTGAAGGACAAAGTGACATTGTTGTGACTGCTGTGAATAAGATTAATAAGAAGTAAAGATTTTTTTTTGAGTTTATGAATATTATTAAATTGACATTTTTGTATTTTCCTGATTTTTAAACTATAGTATCTCAGGCTTTTTTATATAACTAGAGGTAATCTTTTAGCAAATTGAATCATATTTCGTAATTTTATGAATTTCATTAGAAATTCCATATACCATCATAGTTATATAAAGATATAACTTGTTAATGAATATCTATTGACATTTTTTTTTGGAAAAACCGTTGGGTAATTTCAGAAGATAATCAAAAATCCTGAAATTCGTTTTTACTCTATTTCAGTATTCATGGTGGCCGATCCCGTATATGTTGTAAACCTTTCAATTTTATATAGCATTTGACAAAAGATTTCTTTCAAATTCATTATGTCGGGAAGTGAAACCACTGGTGATTTTGGAAGGAAAAAGAGAATATTTTATTTGATAGGATTCATATTTAGTTCATTATCCTCATACTATTCACGATTATTTATATTTAATCAGAAAATTACGATATCAGAAAACGTTGTTTGCAATAATTTTCAAGGTTCATGGTTTGTTACACTATTTATGTCCATTGGTATGTCATCTAGTTGTATAATTTATCTAATAAAGAGCAATAGAGCAACAGATACCGATCTGAAATTTTCAAAAATTCCTTTTGTTCAATATTTACACGCCTTCGTACCAGCATTGATCGATATTATATATTCATTCTTGAAAGTATCCGCAAATATGCAAAATTCGAATTTGAGCATTATTATGGCCAGAACCTTTGTCCTTATCTTTGCAATCATATTTGAAACATTTTATATGAAGAAAAAGTTATATAAGTACGTGATTTTTTCCATGATTCTCATATATATTGGACTTATCATTATTGGGATTACAATTAGCTATGCACTTATAAGTAAGAATTTTACCAGTCAAGATTTGATCATAGTTATTATACAAATCGTAGCTCAAGCATTGTATGCTTTCAAATCTATCAGGGAAGAGCAATTATTAAAGGAAAACGATATAACTCCAGTTTGGTTATGCGGAGTTGAAGGAGTATATTGCTTTTTAATTGTACTTTTCATAGTTTATCCAATTATTAACTTTCTTCCAGAAAATTTATCAAAAAATTTCATAGTCAAAGAAAATTTATGTAGTTCATTCATTGTCTTAGTTCACTCGATCATCCTAATCGTAACATTCATCTTCCTTACGATTATTTTATGTTTCTTTAATATTTCAGCTCTTGGAATAAAAGGAACTTACAGCGGTACAAAGTTTTTAGTCTTAGATATAGTTATGGCTTCAACAGTACAATGGATAATTAATTTGATTATTTATTATTCAACAAAAGGAAAATATGTGAATGAAAAGTGGGACAATTTGAGTTATGCTAGACTAGTAGGGGTCATTATTCTTATTATTGGTGCTGCATTTTATACGAAGTTAATTAGATTGAAATGCTTTGAGTACGAGGATCCAGATATTTCTATCATCAAAGCACACCTTAATTATGAATCAAGTAGTGATGTTCCTTCAATACCGTGAGATTTAAATTGTTTTGTTTAGTTATACTTTTTAATTCGGTCCTTTTATCTACCATGAGATTTCAAATATTATTAAACTTAATATTTTGCGAAATATTGAATTAATTTTAATTTTTTTTTTAATATTTGAATTATTTTAGAAGTAATCGAATTACAGAAACCATGGACAGATTTCATACAATATAAATCTCCTTTTTTAATTGATATTGATTTGAATTCATTCAATTCAAAAAACAATTCATAGAAACTAACTCAAAATATGTTTCTCTCATATGTCTTTTGAATTTATAAAAAAGGTAAGTAATATAAAACAAAACAATCAAACAATTTATTATTATTAATACAAATACTCTATTCTAGGATGCACAGTGAATTCATAAGCTTTGGGATTTGGTGTTGGAGGAGGTTCAGTGTTCGTAGTCAGCGTTGGAAGATTATTATTAGTATTATTAGTGTTATTATTGTTCTGGCTATTTGGTGGTGGTGGCGGTGGTGGAGGTGGTGGTGATGTTTGTGGAGGTGATGATGGAGGGGCAGGTGGCGTTTGTGGTCTTTGTAATTTTTGTTGAAGTGCAGCTGCCTTGAATTGAGCTTGTGCAGTTAATACACTGTGATACATGTTCAAAATTGGGGCGTATATGCTTTTTGGAGGTATAAGTGGATTGTAATGCGGTTTTTTGGTAGGATCATCAACTAATATAGGTAAATCTGATACTGGCACAGGATAATTACGAATTGTCCATGCTCGTAATTCATTTCTTTTGGATCCTATGTAGTCAAAGTCTTTAGGAAAGAAATGATAAATTTCTTCTTTATCTGTATCTGCTCTATTTAACTTTAATTCATAGCCAAGTTCACGCATAACAGTATGTAGAGATGATTTGCTTTTATTTAAGAGATATTGGGATCTTTTCTGGTTAACACCTAAATAATGAGGACAAAATGCATAACCACAAACTAAGCATCGAATAAAATCGTTAGGCTCATTGCGGTGACAGAATCTTCTGATGAGATTGAAGATTTCTAAAAAGATATTTTGTTTTGAACCTCTAGAAATTCTGTCTGCTAAATTTGAAATATGTTTTTTCATTTCCATATATGTGACCTTATCACTTTCTGAAAGTTTGTCAAAATAAGGGGGAAGACCATTCTTAGGTGCTTCTTCTCCCTGATCACTCATAAAAAAAATTCAAGCTTTTTGGACTTTTGTCAGGGGCGCGAAGCATCCCAAAATTTTTGGATCAAACATAATTTGAGTCAAAAATAATCGTATGTTGGAGAATTTTTTTGGAGCATTTATTGGCAGGAGGCTGCTCTGCACGCCGATAGAATGCCCAATATATACTATGTGTTAACAATGTACTTACGGACGTATGACAATATCTTCAATTCTGGTGTTTAAGGTTAATTATCACATATGCATCACGCCAGTTGTCAAAAATTTGAATTAAAATCAGATGAGCGTAAGTGCATCCTTATGGTTAAAAAAGTGAAGAAATTAAAAACCATCATTTGAGTACTTTCTGAGACTTTGCTGACATGAAACCTAGGTTTACATGTCAGAAGTGTATTGACAAACAATCAATATATTAATATAAATATATACAAAAAAAGACAATAAAAATAACAAATTTATTCCTTAATCTATTAATATAAATATATACAAAAACGACAAATTATTCTTGAGGAGCAGGTTGATTTTCTTGGTTATTTTCTTCATTTTCTTGATTATTTTCTACTTTTTCTTCGTCAAGATTTTCTTCTTTTGTTTTTTCTTCTTCTTCATTATGTTTTTCCTCTTTTTCTTCATTCTTTTCTTCCTCTTTTTGTTCATTCTTTTCTTTTTCTTCATTCTTTTCTTCTTCTTCATGTTTTTCTTCTTCTTTTTCTTCAACTTTTTGTTCTTGTTCTTGTTCATTATTTTGTTTTTCTTCTGTTTCATTTTGTTGCTTTTCTTGAGTATTATCAGCCCTTGTTTCAACCATTGATGGTTCATCAACTTCAGGAGCAGGATGATTGTCTTCTTCTTGAGGAGTTGGATCCTTTCCCATCAAAATGTCTCTGATTTGTTGTTTGTACTTTTCAGAGAGTTTTTCTTTCTCTTCTTTGAGTTCTCTGTTCTTGTTGTAATGATATTTCGCGGCGTCCTTGAATTTTTCCTTTTCTTCAATTAATTTGGTATTTTCTTCTTCTTTGGCTTTGAGCTCGGCTTCTAGCTTCTCTTTTTGGGAATTAGATGAATCTAATTGTTCTTTTATGCTCTGAATTTTTGAAGTAAGTAATTTCATTCTTCCATCTTTCAATTCGAGATCTTCTTTAAGTTTTTTGTTCTCTTCAACAAGTTTATCGTATTCTTCTGCTTGTTTCGAGTGATCACTGATGTTTTCTTTAATGTATGCTTTAAAATCAGCAAAATCTTTAACATAAGAGGCTTTACTGGCCATTATTCGGTAATTTTGTTGCACATTAGCAATGAATTGACGAAGCTTAACTTCGTTCTCTCTAAGCTTTGCATTTTCCAACTTGAGAGCTTGACATTCGGAAATTTCGACCAAAGCTTCATAGTATTTGTTGCAAATATCAGATGTCACTTGATATAATTTTCTAAAGTTACTGGACAAGTTTTTACAACCAGCTGACGTTATTTCGAAGGAATGTTTGTAAGAATCAAGTGTAGATGTGGCATTTTTCAGCATCGCTTCATTTATGGCATTTTGCGTTGCAAGCTCATTCCCTGTTTCCAATAAAATCTGCATCAAACTGTGAACTTTTGAATTAAATGCTGTAATATGAGAATTGTAAGCATCAGAGACGCCTGTTTTGAATTCAAATGTGTTTTTTATTTGATTATACATATCAGTAACAACACGCAAGAAGTCTTCCTGCGCTTGGATGATTTTTTCTTGTTCACTCATTAATAGTCACTTTTTTGGCACTTTTGTATAGTTCCATTATTATTTTGTAAATTTAATGATTTAAAATAGGTTTATAGATCATATAACATATATTTATTTAAATATTTTTGATAATAAGAATAAATAGCAAAATCTAATCCACAAGTCATTAATTATTATCTTGACTAATAATTTTCTATCTGGATCTGCTTTATTTTATTCAAGTAACAAGTTGAGGAAAAAGAAAAAATTTTATATGAAGAGATATTTTTATTAAAGGAACATTCTCAATTGGTTATCAAGTTTCTTGTAGAAAATAAGACCGAATATAAGGAGGATTTGGAAGCAAACAAAGAAGATAATTGATCTTGTCATAGAAGAACTTCTAAGGCTTCCAAATGTGTCACGGACACGATCGTATGAGCTTCTAATCCAACTATCCTGTGCTTGTCCACTTGTTTCAACAAGAGATTTAAGAGATTCGATAAGTTGCTTCTTGAATTCTTCCATGTCATCAACAATCTGTTTCTTTGCACCTTCAACAAGTAAAGCTACATCTTGTTTAGTTTTAGCAAATTCAACTCTCATTGCATTGAAATCTTTACGAAGTAAAGCATCTGCAATTTCAACTCTTTCGAGAATTTCGTTGATCTTTGATCCTATTTCGAATTCAACTTCTTCAGCTGTAACACTCTTGTCGACTTGACGAGCAAGTTCAGCTAATGACCACAAAATAGCTTGTTCTTCTTTTGCAATCGTGGAATTTTCTTTTAATTGCTCTCTATATTTTTCAACAAGGTTTTCCAGTTTTCTGGAAGAGCCCATGACTGAGAAAAAGCAGAAGAGTCCAAACATTTCAATTTGACGTACGATTATTGTAAACTTTGACAAAATCGATTTCACTAAGGAAAGACTCAATAAAAGATACTTTTATCAGACCAATTCCTTGCGGATTTACATTCGTATCATATAACACTACTCTCCTATATATGGATATTCGCATAATTTAAAAAGATATATATATAATAAAAATTAAGCTATCATTAGATACATTTAATATTAGGTCAGATATATCTTTGGCACAAGCTTTATCAAAAAGGATACAAAGCTATTTCAGATTCTGGATTTTGAATTGATTTTGGATTTGATAAAAAAAATGATTAATTAGGTAAAAAATATATGTATTTCTAAGATTGTATGTATGCAAAATTTACTTAAGGAGTGTGCCGTTGAACTTCTGAACGAACCATTCCTTAGCTTCCTCACGCTTTACACGCTGGTTTGGACCAATGCGGGACTGGCAGTGCTTGCGGCGGGAAATACGGTTGCCTGGGCGCTCAAGAACAACATAAAGATCCATGCCATGGATACCGATATCACGATCGTACTTGAGACCAAGATCGATGTGCTCCTTGATGCCGAAGCCGAAGTTGCCTTCAATTGAGAAGCAGCGTCCGGAAATTTCATAATCGTGGACTTGGAGAGCGCGGTTGAGGATTTCAAGAGCCTTTGGACCACGGATTGTAGCATAGGCAGCGATCTTATCGTTACGACGGATGCCGAACTTTGGAATTGTACGATGAGAACGGGCAAGCATAGCCTGCTGCTTTGTAAGCTGTTCAATAACACGGGAAGCACGTGTAACCTGGTCACCGACAGCACCTGGGTTGATGTTGATGCAAAGCTTTGCAACACGGATCTCGTTGAGCTTGTTAGACATCGAAAGGCCGACCGAAACAACCGTCAAAACCGAAGATTTTGCGCTCTCTAGAATATAGCAAAAGAAATATATCCAACATATTACGAGTATCATGAAAACATCAAAATCTTCTTTTTATAATGAAATCTTAGAGAATTTTCAAATCTTACTCCATATCTTAAGAAATGGCATTGTTATGACAAAGTAACGAATTCTTAAAGTTTCATAATTAATTTCAAATGAAATAAAGAGATTTTAAAATTATTTTGCATCGGCACTTGTGAAACAAGATTACATCATTGCAAATCAACAGACATTATATATTTAATATTGCACAATGTACACCCTTAAAAGAGAAATATTTTCTCTTATGATTTATTTGGAATAAAGCGAATTATTTAAAAAGAGGAACATCTCATGTGAGCAATATGATAAAAGATTAAGGATTTTCGATATTATGGTATAAATACGATTAATTTTAATAGAAAACAACAATAACTGTTTAAAGTATCACATAATATAAATAACTTACTGGAATAGACTATTTATTATTCTATTCAGCTTAATAGGGAACCTAAATATCGGAACATCATATTTGGTATTAATTACATCGTGTAAAAAGAAGTAAATATGACTTATAAGAATGCAGTATATGCATGGGAGAAGCTGAGTTTTGAAGAAATTTGGAGATGAAGAATTGAATATAGATACGACAACAATATGGTATATTGGTATATATCCTGCTGGAATTGGGACAAAAAATAAAGCAAGAACTCTGTTGTCTGGAAAAATTTTTGACCAATAATATAAAACATAATCAACAAGAATACTGCCTAAAAACGTTAATGAAAATTTAATTGCAAAAATCCATATGAATACACTGCCGAATATTATGAAGCAAATGAAATCGAGAGGTAGACCTTGATAATTTAAACTCTCTAATTGTGTAAGGTAGGTTAAAAATAGATACACATTAAATATAGACCCTAAGCCAAGTCGTCCAAAATGGAATAAAGATGTAAATAATCGCCAGTATTCTTTGTTATGAATTATTAAATCGAAGTTAAAATATAATTGATAATCATCAACTACTTCAAGATAGAGTAGAATTGACATTACAAGTGAAATTATTGCGAAAATAGATGATATATTGGTAAAATTAATCTCCATCTAAATTCCAAAAATATTCTTTAGAAACCCCTATTTTAAAATATCACACCCTTTTTTAAAAAATTTTCCAGATATCGGCGTGAAGTGAGGAAAATACAAAATTAACTAGGCTTGTTTTTATAGGAAGATATATAATGGTCTTGATTCATTTTTGGTTCAGTTCGATCAAACTAATGAAATAATCAAATGTTCCATTAATATTCATTAGTTTTCTTGGGAATATTTTCTTTCACATGGCGCAAATACTAATGAAAAAGAAGTTGTAAGTGGCAGCCAAACTTCTTATTTCCCATAACGGATATATCAATTCCAATCTCAGTAAAAAAAGGGAATTCATAATTCAGGAATAAGCTTATTTCAAGTCCTGAATTTGCTACGCATATAACAAAGTTATTTTGATTTTTAAATTAAACAAAAATATTTTAACAACAATTACTTACTACTAGTATGCTGCTCAACGGCACCTTCCGCCTCTATGATATACATTATTGGTTTTGAGTTACCAATCCTTTGGTGGGCAAGATATTCTATTCTACTCTTAAATGGAAGATTCAAACATTTAGCAAGTTGATTAGCTATTGCTAAACGAATTGTGGGATCACTAGAAGTCTTATTCCAAACAAGAATACGCTCATTATCATTTCGAACTGATACAACAGCTCCAATAACATCTTCATTAATACTTTCTGATATAAAATCTAGAAGTAATTTCTTCCATTCTTGAGAAGCGTGATTTCTTAAAAGCTTAATGAAAAATGTTCCACCATTTTCGTTTTCTTTATCTTCACGAACAGCTCTATGGTCACCTCTAAAGAAGTGAAGAGCTGTATTTGGTTTCAGTCTCGATGGAGGAATTGTATGTGAATAGACTGCCCGAAAATCTTCAACTGTGTTAACTTTAGCAATTTTTTGAATGCACTGTAAGTAATCTTTCGCTGCTCTTTCTGCTTTGTTTGTAGCATAAAGATAAAATGTCCATGGGCTTGCAAGAGGATGACTCATTATTTTGTGCAGTGAAATTCGTCACTTTTTTTGTTTCAAGATTTTTAGATGGCTGAAAAAACTCATTCAAAATGGAGTCTTATCGGTAACTCAACAAACATTCCAAATTACCCAACAGTTTTACCACCAGGGATGGACTCAGTTACATTACAATCCGTTTTATTAAGAGCACAATTTGAGGAAATTCAATTTAAACTGGCTCATTTAAAGACAGAAGCACCAAGAGTTATTCAATTCGATGAAGTTCTATCTAAAAAGAATACATTAGTTTATGATCAAAATGGATATCGAAAAGATCCAACACAAGTTCGAGCTAGAGATTCTTTGTTTCAAGAAAGGAAAGAAGTTATTCATGCAATAGATTCAATTTACCCATTATTTAGAGTTCCAGGTTCAATTCGCATTTCATATAAAAAATGTACAAGGAAATTTTACTTGCCTACACCAAATTGTATTGGCCTCATATTAGGTCCGCGTGGAGAATCACTTAAAGAGTTAGAAAGTAGATACAAAGTTAAAATCTCAATTCGTGGTCAAGGAAGTACCCCTGATTCGCGAACAACAGGAGAAGTTTGCATTCCCAGATCACCTGATGAACCTTTACATGCATTAATTGAAGCTGATACTGATAGTGCCATTGATAACTGCATTTCAGAGCTCGAAATGATCATTATGCCAAAGCCAGACCAAGAAAATGAGCTGAAGAAGAAACAGCTCTATCAATTGGCAGTCTACAATGGTGTTGTTTCTGCTGATAGTGCTTTTGAAAAGAAAGAAGAAAACGAAAACCCTCCTTGGTACGATCCAGCTCTTAACTTAGATAATAGCGAAGTTAGAAATGCTGTTGATAACTTTGTAAATGATTTAGAAACAAAGGAAGATGAAACAATTGAACTAGAAAAACAGAAGAAATTAGAGAAATACAAACCATTCATGATCAATCTTCGTGAATGCGATATATCTATGATTCTTCCTGAGAGAGCACCTCCAGGTTTCGAATAAAATTTTTGTATGTTTGTATAGTATTATTTGTTGAATAATTTAGTTTCCAATCCAAAGAACAAGACCAAAATACGCAAAGGACAAATTATTATGCACAAATGACCTATATCAAAGGAGAATCATTTCAAATTTTACAATTTGGGTTGAAATTTCTGAAAAAAATCTGGCACGTGCAAATTATACCACTTACACTACTGCTTTTGATAGTAAATGGAACTTATGAAAAACAGTTTCCGTTATTAAAAAAATCAATTGAAAAAAATTTTCTTCGATAAATTTTGAAGAAATTTGATGCAATGGATAAATCTGCATTAAAAGCAGATTACATGCAGCAACTATTCAAAGAGATGACCAAGTGTGGCATCTTCAATCAAATGCAATCAGTTTTTTTAAATAATGTAACACAAGAAATCGCAAATTCGAATATTCCTGAAATGAAAACATATATTGAGGCACCAAATGATAAAGCAAACGAATTAGCATCACAAGTTGTTCTTCAATTCCTTGAAAGAAATGAATTATCAAATACTTCACAAGCAGCAAATTCAGAATCTAACGGATTTCTACAGAAAAGACAAAGCGATTACAATGTATGCAAAGAGCTTGGACTTCAAGGAACCAATAACCTACTGAGTGAGCTTGTTAAAGCGCATGAAGATGACTTTAACGAACCTTCAACTATGGTTTCTGATGCAGTTTCTACAATTGTATCACAAATTCTTGATAGCATGGATGAGTCCATTCAGACTTCATTACCAGATGAAGAATTTGAAGATATTTACAGAATTCAACAAGAGCAAGCAAGAGCTAGAAACGTTGTTCTTGAAGAAAACAAACCAGAAGACGAAGATTACGACGACGGATATGAAGAAGAGGATTATTATTACGAAGAAGATTATGAAAGTAAACAATATGCTGATGCTGGCGAAACATTCAGATCAGCACTTAATAAAAAGCACGGTAATGGTGATGGTAACTCTTATTATGACGCAGATTACGATTATGATAAAGATATTCAAGATCGGCCACTTGTTTCATATCATTTCGTTAGTTCAAAGACTCCATCAGCTGCAAGTACGAATTCAGTTGATCCTTCGCCGCTTTCACCAAACCAAAATCCTCAAAATACAAATCCAACAGGAATTACTGTACAAAGCGAATCTATTTCCTCAGGACCAATCAATGGGTCTCTTCCACAATCCGTAAAAGAACTCAATTCCGATTCTTCAAACTTTACATCGATCGTCGGATCTCATACAACAACAAACGAAGGCTCAAAGTCAAATCAAGAATTCACACCTTATACATACGAAACAATTACAGTCGATACTACTCCTTATACTTACGAAACTGTTACTGTTGACTCATATTCAGAAGCAGATCCACGAGTTTCCAATCGTCTCAACAGCAAACAGTTCACAACAGAGTACAACTACAACACGCAACCAGATTTATCGAATTACAGACAAGTCGCTTCATCAGAAGTCGAAGAAAACATGTTAAACGGCTCTTTGACAGGTTCCGAGTCAAGTTTATCCGAAAATGGTCGTTCCAAATCTAGATCTATTCAAAGAGGTCATGAATACGCAGGTACACGTGATGGAATTCCTCAGAAGCGTAGATTGGATGGACCACTAGCATATCTTGACAAAAGAACAGGAAGAAAGTCATCATTTGCTCCAGGAGCTGAAGGCGGAGAATCATTTAGTTCAAGTAATTTCTCACCTTCATCTGGTACAACATCTGAAGAAAACGAAACAGATACAACAAACGATAAAAGCAAGACTAAGACAAGTGAAGAAGGATTCTCTATTCCAACATCAGGAAACAAATGGATATCTCCATCTAAATCTAATACAAATACAAATTCTAATTCCATGTCAAGATTCAATAAAAATAATGATTCTGAGTCATCTTCACTTGAATCTATTGATGAAAACAATGGAAAGAACAAGAAACAGAGATTACCACCTGTAAGGATAAACAATGTTAGAACAAGTGATATGAGTTCTATTAATACTTCTTCAACTTCTGAATCAAATAACAGTGAATACACTGATTTCACTGATGAAAATGGAAATATTGTACATAGAAAAGTACCAAAGTCAAGGAACAATAGACATAGAGGTGGAAGCAGTGATGAAGAATATGAATATACTGATGAAACAGATGCAGATGGAAATATTATCCGTAAAAAAGTTCAGAAATCTCCAAATTCAAGAAGATCTCGTTCAAGAAACAACAGAAATGGTGATAGTAGTGATGATGATTATGTGTATACCGATGAAACAGACGCAGATGGTAACATTATCCATAAGAAAGTTCCTAAATCATCAAATTCAAGAAGATTTAAATCAAGAAACAACAGAAATGATAATAGTAGTGATGAAGATTATGAGTACACCGATGAAACAGACGCAGATGGAAATATTATCCATAGAAAAGTTCCTAAATCATCAAATGCGAAAAGATCTCGTTCAAGAAACAACAGAAGTGACAGTAGTGATGAAGGTTATGAATATACTGCTGAAACAGATGAAAATGGTAACATTGTCCATAGGAAAGTTCCTAAATCTTCAAATGCAAAAAGATCTAAGTCAAGATATCAAAGGAATGGAGATAATGATAGCGATGATTATGAATATGATGATAACGATGCAGATGAAGATGGAAAACCAACTCACAGAAGCAGATCTGCTCCATCAAATTCAAGAACAAATACAAAAGGAAAGAAATCGAAGGGAAGAAGCAAATTTGGTGATGATCCATCGATTGATGATGACTTTTCACAATCAACAACTTCCAAATCCTATGAAAGCGAAAATGATATTTCAAATACAAGAAATACAAAGAAATCAAAGAGTGCAAAGTCAAGTGGAGCAGTTAACAGATATGGCTCACCAATAAAACATCCAGATAATGAACCAACTCTTGACGATGACGATTTTTCGCCTTCAGGAACAACAAGTGACTACGAAACAACAAATACGGGAGAAGGATCAAGATCATATTCGACAGGAAATGGTCCTAAGACTCCACAAGAAAGGTTTGCCAGAAGAGAAAATTCAAATAGTTCCGAATTTACAAGCCAAACAACATCTACTACACAATCAGGCTCAACAAACTCCAAAGAAGCAGAATCTAGTTCATTTGGAGTTATTCCTGAGCCAAGAATGGTTAATTACAACAAAGATAAATCTTCATTAGCCAAAATCAAGACAGTTAGCCCTGGATCTAACAAATATGGCAATGAACTTAACTCATCAGACTTCGATAACACTGCTTCAACAACAACAAACACTTCTTCATCAACAAATTCAAGTCAAAACAACCAAAACAACATGAACAACACACGAAAGAACAAATACAAGAATCAGCAACAACTCTCGAGTGATGAAGAACTTTCTTCTCTTCCTTCTACATCAACAAATTCAGCAAATAATTCTCCAAACAAGAAACAGAACAAATATGCTGCTAAAGATAGCACATATGACTCATCTATGACATATGAATACGAAACAGTTGATGCTTACACATACGAAACTGTTGATTCTTCAAATCTTTCTTCAGAACATGAAAAGGGAACTTCCCCACCACAAAAAGTGACATCTACTAAGAAATCATCGAAACCATCGAAATTCCAAAACAAGCAGATGATGTCATCTGACTTAATGAGCAACATGACTGATGATTCATCATTGATGAGTACAGAATCTGTTAACAACGAAAACATTGCTGCAATGCCATCAAGATACAGAAATAACAAAACTCCAAGTACATCCCCACAGACAACGAAGCAAACAAACACAAACACGAATGTTGCTTCAGGATCTACATTTGATGACCAATCTTATAATACCTCCAATTCTTCGAACTCTCCAAACGTGAAGAATTTGAAATCACCACGAAGAATTGATTCAAGAGAACTCGATGGAACTGTTTCAACATCAGACTTCTCTCCTTCATCAGGATCATCATCTGCCTACGCTACTTATTCAACAATGGATTCATCATCTCCAAAGAATTCTCCAAAGACAAATAAAGAGAAATCTCCAAAGACAAATAAAGAGAAATCTCCTTCTCCTAAGAAATTTGTCAACAATAATTATATGGATGATGTTTCTATGGATACAATACCATCAACGTATGATAGTGAATCCAGTGTTGATCCAAGACTTCCTTCGAGATTATCAAAAGGAACTGTTTCTAAGACATCAACTTATGATTCATCAACCCAAGAAAACCAAATTGAAGAAGAACAAAAACCAACAAAAACAAGAAATGCAATCAACAACGGAAAACTTGTTCCTGTTGAATTATCAACAGAAGACTTTTCTTCAACAACAACAAATACAAATACATCAACTACTTCTTCATCTAATTCTAATTCTCCAATTTCAAAACATTTCACAAAAACAAATGTTAATAATTCATATACAAGTGATATTTCAAGTGAAATTAGTTTGGATAAGACAAATAAACCATTACACAAAGCAATAATTAGTAATTTAGATGAAGATGATGATGAAACAGAAAGTAATTCAAGTCAATTCCCTGTAATTGATGAGCCGCAATTAGATAAATTAAGAAAGAGACAAAATAATGGAACTGTTTCTCACACATATACAACAGTTACTGCTGATGATTATTCTTACACTTATGTTACAGATGACGGAAAACTTCAAACTCCTGATTTCTCAAACACATCATCAATTTCTTATTCTTATGAAAGTGATTCAACAAATTATAAACAAAAGAAATCATCAGTTTCTAATTCTTATGAAAGTGAAAATCCAAGAAATTATAATCAAAAGAAATCATTAATTTCTAAATCTTTTGAAAGTGAAGAACCAAGAAAGACAAAGAATAGAAGAAACAATGATGACAATAAAATAATGACTTCATTAAGTGAAATGACTTCTTTGACAACAAATACAACAACATCAGAAAATAATTCTCCAAAGAAATCATTTACAAACAAACAAATGAAACAATTAGATTCTGTTTCAATGGATGAAATTTCAACAACTGAATCATCAGAAAATAGATTTAATAATCAAAAATCTGATGATTCAACAAGTGATGATGAAAGCATTGATGAAATAATTAAACACATTCCATCCAGATACACAAGAACCAGCAGCCAAACAACAGATTCCAAATCAAATCCTGTTAGTTCAAGATTCACACAACAATTATCAGAAACAGAAAGTGAAAGTGACATTGACAAATCAATTGATGAATCAGACAAACTTCCTTCAAGATTTAGAACATCATCACAACAAAAGAAACCACAAAAACAATTCACAGAAACTTCTGATTTCGATTCAAGTTCAACAACAACAACAGAAACAAATAATAATTATCAACCAACAAGAAAAGATTTCACAAAAAGAAATGTTTCATTATCAACAAATTCAACAACTGATTCATATACAACAAATGATTCTTATAATAATACAAAGAGTCAAACAAAGACATTGATTGATGCAATTGGTCCAATTGTTACTAAAACAATCTCAACTGAATCAACAAATACAAATTATACAACTTATTCAACAATTGCAAATGAACCTCAACAACCAAAATCAACAAATAGATTTGCTGTTAACAGCAAATCTACATATGACAATCCAACAGAAATAAGTACAAACAACAGATTTAAATTACCTCCTGTTAAAAATTTGACTTCTATTTCATCTGAAATTTCTACAACAACTTCAACAACAAATTCAAATTCAAACAGACCTGTTCAAAATAAATTTATACAAAGACAACAAGAAACAGAATCAAATTATACATATACTACAACAGAAGATAATTTACCAGTTGTTGAACAAAAGAGAAAACCAATTATTTCTAATCAAAAACAAATTTTGACTGATTTAAGTGATTCAGAAAATGAAGAATCAACAACAACAAATTCATATAATTCTATGGAAATCGAACCACCTAAATTTGTTGATAAAAAGTTTGCTTATCAGAACAGAAATATCAATGACAAAGAAGAGAAATTCATGAGTGAAATTGATACAGAACCAATGACAACAGATTCTTCAATTGATTTACCAAATCCAGATCCAAGAAGATTTGCTCAAAAACAAAATAATTCATTCTCTGATTCAACATTTACAAATGAATCACAAGACATCAACTACAACAAACCAGTTAATGTCAATAAACAAAAACAAACAAAACCAATTAATAATAATATTTATAATAGTTCTTCGACCAAAGATAAAAGTGACACAACCACTTCAACTTCTGTATCTAGTTCAATTTCTAATGTTGTTGAAAAAGATAAGAAAGATCCATTGAAATATACAAATGCTTTAACAAAAGTAAGCACAGATATATCAACAACTTCAACATCAACAAGTTCATCTCCAATTAGAAATAATTTGCCAAATAGATTTGCTGCTAAAAATGATGATTCTGAATCAACATTTTCTGAAACAAATCCACCAATTGAAATTTCTGTAAAAGAAGAAAAACAAATGAACAAAAAACCTAAATCAAACAGATTACCATTGCCGCCAAAAGAAGAAGAGATTTCTTCTGTTACAAGTTATTCTTCTACTAATAATTCTTCAACTGTTGAACAAAAAGAAAAACCGAGATTTGTTTCAAACAGACAAATCGGAAATCAAATTTCAACTTTGGATGAAGAAATTTCAACTTTCGAATCAAATTCATCAACAATTGATAGAATTCCAATCAACAAGAGATTCATTGCTAAACAACAAAATGAATCTTCATCAATGACAACGGAATCAACATCAATTGCCGCTGATATAAACAAAGCACCAATAAATAACAGATTTTTCTCAAAATCAGATTCAGAAAATTCAGAGAGTTCTGAAATTTCTGAGAAAATACAAAATTCAAAGAAGAATTCTGTATCTGACGGATCATCATTAGTTTCATTAGTTTCAAAGCCAAATAACATGAAACAAGTCACAAACCTTGAAACTAATTTCACAACATCAACAACATCATCAATTGGAATCAATCAAAAAGAAGCAGAAAACAAGTTTGCAAAGAAAGAAGAAGAAACAGATTCATTCACTTATATGACTGTTTCTACTGATTATTCACAAGAGAAACAATCTCTTCCTCCTCCACCGAAATCTCTTAGACAAAAACAAAAGAAACAAGATAATTCTTTCACTTCTACTTATTCATCAACATCAACAACAGAAGTTTCTGATGAATTTGAACCACAAAAAGAAAAGAAACCGATGGAAAGAAAAGTTTTCAATGGAGAAATTTTGGATTCTTCAGCAATTGAAATTTCTCAAACTTCTTCTACTTCGAATTCCTTCGAATTCGTTCCAAAGCAAAACTCAAACTTCCAGAAGAGACAAGAGCAATCAAATACAAATACAACTACAAACATTGATGAAACAATTGAAACACAAAAACAAATTAAACAAAAAGTGACAAAACCAGAAGAATTCAAACAAAAAGTGACAAAACTAGAAGAAATTAAACAAAAGAAGTCACTTCCTCCACCACCAAAGAACATTGATACAACTAGTAGTTCTAATAATATGAATATGATTGGAACAAATGATTTAGAATCAATTGAAACAACAACAAATGTTTCTAAACCGAAATCTTCTTTACTGTCCGCTTTCCAGAAGAAAGTTCAAAGCGAAACAGAGACAGAAACAGAAACAACCGAATCCACAAAAGAAGAAATCCCAATACAACCAAAGCCAGAACCAAAACCAATAAGAGCTGCTCTTCAATTAAATGGAGATGTAAAAATTTTGGCTTCTGATTCTTCTTCATCTCAAAAATCTCCCAAACGTAAACAACCTGAAACAAAGGTAACAACAGCCAAATTGCCACCAATTCCACAAGCATTCCAAGCCCCAGTTCGAAGAGAGAAACCTGTAATCAAAGGCGCCCACGTTTTTGTTTCTGAAAGTGACCAAGAATCGAATTCAAACACTTTCACAAACGATCCTGCACAAATACCAAACCAAAACACAGAGAAATACATCAAACGTCCAACAACTACATCTACTACAACAAATATTGATTCTACAGGTCCAAAGAAAGTTAAAAAGAATTTGATTGATGCAATAGAAGGTGGAAAATTAATAAATGGAGATGAAGAAGGAATGTTTTCAACTATATCAGCAGATACATCGACGACTAACACGACACAAACAATAGATGATAATCCAAAGCCACAAACGTTTGTTTTGCCAGATCCAGATAAAGAAAGGAAACAAAACAGACAGAGAAGAATGAGAAGAAGTGCTGAGAGTACAATGGATTCTTCTTCAAGTGAACATCGCATAAGAAGAAGAGAAAGACCTCAAGCACAAAAAGAACTTCCTAAAGTTCCTGAAGAGATCAAAAAAGAAGATGATGAAGAAAAACATGAACAAATTCAACAGAGAAATATCAGGAGAAGAAGAAATCCAGGTCCAACAGGTTTGGATTCGAATTTCTCTACACAACAATCAACAACAAGTACTAACACATTCACTGGATTAGGAAAGGATGGAATTATTAGACCATCAAACAGATTTAAGTTACAATGGAATCCAGACGAGGATTCAAACATCGATTAATTTTATTTTTATATTGTATTATTTTTTTAAAATATTATTATCTTATATTAATATCTTTTTTTTTAACTTGAAATCATATTCTTCACATCTGTTCTCAAAATTTGAGGTAATTGAAATGTTTACACGCGAAGAATATGATTTCAAGTTTAAATCAAAACTCATATTTTAAAATTTTGTTTGAATTGCAGATGAAAGCGTATACAATCTGGAATATCTTAAATATGACACTTGTATTCACAACTTATTGACTCGTATTGGAGCTAATAATAGAAATTTAATTTGAGAAATGAGCATTATTCTTTTTGTACACTTTCTTTCCCTTCATTATGAGAAAAATATTATTCTTTGTCTATTTTGTTTTTAAATTTAGATATTTTATCTTTTAATGAAATTCTCATTTAAAAGACTTCATTATACTTAATAAGTCATTTTTAATCTAGTGAGCAAATAATAATAAAACATTATAAAACCATATATTTTATTCAAATATTAAATCTCCTGAAAATGACTGAATGTCACTGCTTGACTCACAATTTGTTTTGATGATAGAAACATCGGGATCCTCATACTCAAAGCATTTCAATCTAAATATCTTAATGTAAAAAGCAGAACCAACAACAAGAATAATGACTCCTATGAGTCTAACATAACTAAATTTATCCCAACTTTCGTCAAAATTATCCACATTCAACAATTTTCCTTTTGTTGAATAATGAATAATTAAATCAATTGTCCATCGTATTGTTGAAATCACAACTATATCTAAAACTAAATATTTTGTACCACTATAGGCTCCTTTTATACCAAGAATTGTAATATTAACGATACAAAAAAGAAATGTGAGAATTGTGAATATTATAATTAAGGGGATCGAATGAATCATCATGTTGAATGATCGACATAAATTTTCCTTAGCAATGAAATGTGTTGTTAAATTTTCTGGAAGGAAATTAATAATGGGGTATATTATGAAAAGCACAATTAAAAAGTCATATATACCTTCCACTCCGCATAGCCAAACAGGAGTGATATCGTTTCCTTTTAGTAATTGTTCTTCCCTAATAGATTTGAAGGCAAATAACGCTTGAGATATGATTTGTATGCCAATTATGATCCAAATATCTTTGCCGATATCCTTTTTTGAAATAGTAAAACCGATTGCAATTCCAGATACGATAAGTCCTATATACATAAGAACCATAGAAAATATTACGTATTTATAAAGTTTCTTCTTCATATAGAATGTCTCAAATATAATTGCAAATAAGAGAACAAAAATTCGCGTAATAATAAATGTTAAATCCCTATTTTGCATATTTGAACAAGAATGCAAAAATGAACATATAACATCGATTAGTGCAGGTATAAATGCATGAAAATATTGAATTATAGGTATTTTTGAGAATTTCAGATCTGGATCTTTTGCTTTATTGCTTTTGATTAAATATATTATGCAACTTAATGACATCCCAATAGACATAAATAGTATAACGAACCAGGAATCTTGAAAATTACTGCATATCACATTTTTGATTGTAACTTTTTGATTTTTAATAAATCTTTGAGTATAATATGAAATTTGGGTGGATAAAATGAATCCGATCATGTAAAATGCCCTCCTTTTCTTTCCAAAATCTCCGGCAGTTGTATTTTCGGGCATTACGACGCTTTTTCAAAAAATATATTGTCAAAAATAAAGGTGATTTAAAATCACAAATTGTATCAACAACATCAATATTTCATTTTATTTATCAGCTCAAATTAACTGACGGTTTATATGAAAAAATTTCTCAGAAACTATAACTAAAATTAGATCTGATCGGTTTTGAATCCAAGTACGAAAACAAACTTATGTGAGTAATGAAATCATTGTTTCCTCATCCGAATTATTAATTTTCATTGTTAAATATGATTTCAGAGTCGCTGCAAAAAATGGCAAATAATCGTTTTTTAAACGTACATTTTCTTAGAGCGAGCCAACTACATGGATCTAACTCTTTTTTTCAACAATAGAGTTTTCCTGTGTTGCATAAAGAGGATAATTCCCTGCTTTCATCTTTATAGCTTGTAATCCAATATATTGAAATTTCGAAATTCTCGACAACAAAATCCGATTTTCGTATATAAAAGGCAAGTACTACAACATTTTACAATTTCAAACAGTAAAAATCGAAATCTCAAGAATACGAAAAGATATTATATTAAAAAGATTAGCATTATTGATTACATTAGTTTACTAGCTTCGATTGATTTGTACAATATATTCTGATATAAATTCTTGTATTATATTGGAATTGCTTGTACAATCAAACTTGGCTTATAAATTGCGAATTCAAACTTACTCAATTAGTTTACAAATGTAAAGCTTCTACCAAATATTTGTATTTGTAAACTAATTGAATAAATTTGGAGCACTTTTGTTCTCGATGAAATAATTTGAACTACAAACTTACTCAATTAGTTTACAAATGTAAAGCTTCTACCAAATATTTGTATTTGTAAACTAATTGAATAAATTTGGAGCACTTTTGTTCTCGATGAAATAATTTGAACTACAAACTTACTCAATTAGTTTACAAATGTAAAGCTTCTACCAAATATTTGTATTTGTAAACTAATTGAATAAATTTGGAGCACTTTTGTTCTCGATGAAATAATTTGAACTACAAACTTACTCAATTAGTTTACAAATGTAAAGCTTCTACCAAATATTTGTATTTGTAAACTAATTGAATAAATTTGGAGCACTTTTTTCTTCGATTCTTATCTCAGAAATCAAAATCAAGAACTGAGTATGTTCATGTTTGTGTAACATTATGACTTATGTAGGCACATGCTCAGATCTGAAAAAAGTCCCGAATTTTTTAATAATTTGAAAATAATATTCGAATTCAAGAAAGTAGTTTATAATTGCAAGATTCTGTTCATTTACCTTGCAATCATAAACATGTTTCTTGAAAATATTTCACTTTGTCACAAGAATGTGATCTTCGCAATTTGTTTCAATAAAGGAGTCTACGATCGCAATGCTATGCACTAGTCATTTTCAATTGTGAACTCGTTTCTTTAAAAGTTTTCAATTTGTCACAAGATTATTCTCAAATAAATTTATTTCAGGAAAGGGGTTTATATTTGCAAGGAAATGCTTCATTACGTTGCAATTGTAAACTCCTTTTCTAAATAGTTTCATTTGATTAAAATTTAATTATCACATTCTATGTAAAATTCTCAAAAAATATTTTTTTTCCTCATTTAAGCCATAAATATTCATACTTTACAAATACAGATTTTTTAAATTCTTTATTTTTCATATGAAAAATATAATTTTTTATTTTAAATTTAGAATTTTAAATTTTTTTTGACAATTTTTATTTAATTTTGTGTTTATTTTATTCAATTTTATATATATAATATTTTTATTAATGTTCATTTTTTAATTTTTCAATGCATACGATAATTTTTTATTCAATTTTTAAACGAATGTTTTGATGGGACGAGCTTCGTGATCATTTGCTCATCCCATCAAGACATCTCTATAAAAACCCTGGCTTTCAATGAGGCCAGAGCTCGCAACCCATCTCCTCAGAGCCAAGTTCCTCGAATGTCGTTCTCATTAGGCTTGATCCGAGAGGAACTTGGCTCTGAATGAAACTCACAAGCTCTGGTCTCAGCAAAGGCTAGGGCTTCACGAACAATCATCGGGGCCGGCTTCCTCAATGACCGCCCTGATTGTGGGCGGCCGGAGAGGAATCCAGCTCCGAGATAACACCACCATGAAGCCCTGGCCTTAGCAGAGATCAGAGCCCGCAAATTCAATCCTCAGGGCCGAGTTTGAGGGGGATCATCCTCATCACTGACGATCTCCTCTCCTCTCGGCCCTGAAAGACATAAAATTACAGACTTTGGCCTCTGCTAAGGCCAGGGCCTCGCTTACAGCCCTCAGGACCAGCTTTCTCAAATGCCGCCATGATCTAGGGTGGCAGGAGAAGAATCCGGTCCTGAGAAGCTTATCAAACGAAGGTATGGCCTCAGCAGGTACCAGAGTCTCGCTTACAGCCCTCAGGACCAGCTTTCTCAAATGCCGCCATGATCTATGGCGGCAGGAGAGTAATCCGGCCCTGGGAAGCTTACTAAACGAAACTCTGGTCTTATCGGAGGTCAGACCCTGCAAAATACTTCATTCTCATCAAATTGAGATACATTTTAACTCAGAAAGCCTAGAAGGAAGCCATTTCTCAAGGTTACGACTTCCTTCTTGGCTTTCTGGTACTGAGTAGAGTATTTGAAATTCTACCTTTAAGAAATCTGTATAAATATTGTCAAATACTAAAAGATAGAGCTTCAAATAATGCATTCTATGTAAGCGCACGATAATTCATAGTTTAGTGAGTATGTTTATGTGAAATTTTTATGAAATAAATAAACTTGTTATTTCAACTTATATTTTTGATTTTTAATCTGCTTTCATTTTCTTAAATTCGGATATAATTATTAACTTTTTGTGTAGTTCGAGTTGAGGTTTGAGTTTCATGAAGCAGTCTTGCTATTATTTCTCTAATTTGTTTTTATTAAATTTACAATTTTTTCTTTTCGGGAGAAAAAGCTTGAAAACGGTGTGTATGGCATTTGTCCATCCATCCGAATGATTTAGAGTACTAATGAAACCATTTTCAAAAACTTTACCATTGACTCACTCCATTGTGTACGTTTAAAAAACGATTATTTGCCATTTTTTGCAGCGACGACGATTATTTGCCAATTTTTGCATCGACTCCATATTTCAAACAAAATACCCTAATTTTTTTATTCTAATATTAGTTTGCCTAATTTAAGTGCCACTATATTCATGATTGAAAATTCACTTGTGTGATCATTTAATCGCTTTGTATTCCTTTTCTAGTATTTATTAAATCAAAATTGTTGCATGCTAAGTTCGGTCAACGATAGAAATTGAGTGGAAATTAATCGTCGAGGAAGTACGATTATGTAAAGTAAAAAAT